TATTTTATACTGTTCCTGAGAGCTGGAGTTTTTAAGTTCTGCATGTCTATTCACCACAATCCCCTTTTTATTACCCAGAAGTGTAGACAACATATAAGCTAAATTAAACCAATTTCTTCCTTACTGCCTTAAAACCCTTTCCCTTCCTTGGATATTTTATTACCTGGGTTTATCTCTGAAAGACTCAAGATCTTCAAAACAGCATGATCATTTGAGGTTAATTCTATGATTTGCACTTAATGGCAGAGGATAATTCTCCTGCATCACATGATTGCAAAGAGTCTCAAATTCACTAACACTCAGAATGGCATCTGTGGAATTTACACTTTAATCCTAAATTATATTTTAGTAACTAGTAATCGCACACAGAATCGGTTTAGGTGTGTGTTTGGTTGGTTTTTAAGTTCTACTGTTTCGTGAGCTAACGTTGGAATCAGCTTAAGACAAGGTGCTTCAGTTCTATGATATAAGCATAAACACTTTACTGTCATAGCTTATAACTAACTTTCAGTGGGAATCATATACGTGACAAGACTAATAACATTATTAATTGCATGATTACTCAAGCATTTAAACAGTTTTGTGGGTTTCTGTTTTCTTTTTTCCCCAATTTATTAATCAGAGTGCCTCATTCAAAATAAACAGTGAGGAGCTTTATGACACAGGCAACATAATAAAACTGCACAAAGCTTTTTTAATCACCTTAATGCCTTAGCATCTCTAATTTATATTCTCTGCACCCCCACTGATATGAACTGACAAAATTATACACAATTTAGTGCTATTAGAACCACAGATAAGTACTAGTAAGTGCCAAATCTCTAGTTAACAATGTACAAATTCAAATGCTTTTTGTGGTGACAGAATTTAAGTGTGTTAAAATAATAATAATCTTGAAGAAAGGATTATTTTTTGCTTTGGATTTATATTAGCCTTTGTTATAACGTGGGAAGCTCTAATAAGACCTGCAAGTTATACTGTTTGCTCTATATAGATTTCCTTAAGACTGGGGCATACTGAGCAAAACCAGCTGGAAATGTTAGCAGCCAGTCTCAGAAACATTGCTGACTGGTACAGAATGATTTTCTGGAGTCTTAAAACCTAAGTGGATTTTGCAGAAAACAACAAATGCTCTCTGATAGGACTGTCAGAATGCAAGTTAACATCAGCTTTCAGCACTGCTGAATAATAGTTAATGTTACGTAGAGGTAACAATCACAGGACAAATTGGGTAGTGTCACTCCATTCCAATGCACTACAACTTTAAACACCTGATAACAAAGCAAAGCCCAGCAAATTTTACCTCATTGTAAGGTAAAATATGAAAACTCCTCTTAGACTTTTACAGAGGCCAACTTTTCCAAAATGAGATATGAACAGTGAAATTGAGAGGACAGAGAATTATGTGGTGCTCATACATTACAATATATTTCATCCTTTAATTTATAAATTAATGTTTTTTAAACCAAAATGGTCTAAACACTACTCAAAAATTCAAGTTATGCTTACATCCATATACTTGTATTTGTCTACAAATACAAGTATATGGATGTAGACAAACACAAGTAACTGGTGGAGAAGAAGAAAGGTTTTACATCCTTTTTGATGCATTATGGGGTACACACTGCATATGCATGTATTTGAGCTACATTTTACTGACACGTTCGGCAATTTTAAGTGTTGAAAAAATTCTTACTTTGAACATTTGTGCTAGGCAGTTGCTTGAAGTACAGTTTTAAAAGTCCTTAAGTGCATAGTATCTTAACAGCACCCATCTAAATGTGGTTGGTTCAAACAGCTTCAAAAGTCATGGTAAGTTTACTCAGAATAACTTTTTTTTATGCTATTATCTGTTATTAATACGATGTTTTTGTAGTGCAATTGCTCAAAAATAACTAATGTAAAAAATAGCATGCAAGGGTCCAGAAAAATCAATGCCTACTTCCAACATATGGCATTTCTGCCTGGGTCTCCATTTCTCTACAGAAGCTGTGTATTAAAAGGCAGTAGAAAAACACGTACCTTTCAGACAGTCTGAACTTTGTCCTCATTCTGTAATGAGGAAAGAAATCAGAAAACAGACAAACAGCACATATTTTCACAAGAAAAGGCTGCTGGAGTTGGGACAGGACAACCATTCCTGATGCAGGAGGAAAGCTTGAGTGTGCTTTGTACTCTGGAGGGAGAGTTTAAGGCAAGTTCAGCAATTTATCCGTGAAATTTGTATATGGGTTATGACTACAAATGCCATGGGCCAAATTCAGCTGTAAGTAGGGGGAATTTCCTTTCAGCCAAAGCCGAGTTTGGTTCCAAGGGACTCAAAAAGACCTTTAACGGCAAATCTGAAAGACACGTGTACTGCAGCTTTTACTGTAGTCTCCTAATTCTCCTGCTGTGCTGATCTAGTGCAACACAATTTACATTTACAACTACAGGCTTAGATTATATGGGTCAACAAACTTTCTGAACAAGTTGTAAACTATTAAGTCTTTTTTATAATCATTGGGTTCAAAGAATTACTTGGCTAATCTTGCACGATAGATGTAAAAAATCTGGACAAGATTTGTGTGAAGAAATATTTAAAACAGGAGAAAGGACTCACTGGAAAACCTCAAGGAGGAAACAGAAATAATTTCTTAATAAAAACCAGAAAAGCAGATTGCATGACCTTTATTAGAAAAATAGGAGCTATATGGTAATTTTTATTAAAACTTCTTCCAGGGAGGTTGAAAGAATAAAATCTTTAAGGCATGCATATCCTTCAAAACATTATTTCATGTTGAAAAACAAAGTTAAACATCCTTAGAGGTTACATATTCCAGAGCATCACACATCAGTAAATGAAAAACTCTGGTTGACAATGAACACTGTCATTTTATCAAGAAATAAATAATCTTAAGAGCTATGAGTAAAGAGAATTTAAATTACAATTCAAAACACAATACTGAATGGAATTAACACTTCACTTGGATATTCTGTATGGGTAATTGCTTCAGACCTGACTATATTGTAGCCACGATAGGAATAAAATGAATCAGGCTGAGGATTATAAGAAGTGGCCTCCGAGACAAAAGTATTTATTCTTTTATACTAACTGGGGAAAAAAGATGCAGAGAATACTTCAGAAGAGAATAGCCTTAAGATGGTAGAGTGTAAGTTTTGCACAAGTTCAAGAACTAATATAACAATATCCTCCTAACCTCGTTTTACTAGTTTACAAATGTAAGGAGTCCACAAGAACACAGATCTTTGGAATTATTTCAAAAAACAAAGCCCATAGAAAGCTGAAGCTCCAACCTGCATGCTTATGTGATGACAGGTGACACGGATGTCCCTATTCCTACCATCTGCTTGTATTCTACCACAAGTCGTTGTTCTCTTGGTTGGTCTTACCTCCTCCCTCAGATTGCTACAGTCACTTTGTGCGTGTCTCACACCCACACTACAAGGTTTGAACAACTAACCACATTGGCAGTCAGAAAAATCAGAACCACTTGCCTCAATCTTTGAGCAACTTTTACTTCTATTTCTTTCTTAAAACTTTTCTTTATTTTGGTGAGTATTGAATAATGATTTAAAAAAATAAGCCATGCTGCTTCTTTACTATGACTTTTTCCAAGGAGGTGAATGCTATAATATGAAATAACAGCAAGTGCTATTACTAGCATTACGCCTTTGGAGAGAAGAACGCAGTAGTAGCAGAAGTGGCTGAAGTAATCCTCTAACATTTAAAAGGCATTTGCCCATGGGGCAAATGAAAACCTGGGAAGTGTATGAACGGTACAAGTCAGCATAATCTATTTTTATTGCTTATTTAAAAAAACCTTACACATTAGTATTCTCAAACAAGATCAGGCCATAAATGCCTAAACACAGTATTAAATGAATAAAATAAAGTATTATAACAATTCATATGTTTTTTATAACCCATCATCACCATGCATAAGTATGTATCAGTCCATTGACTTTATTAAAAGCAATATTCTGGTCTCCCACATGCTGTTCTATTGGCATAAAAAGATCATACAGAAGCAGCAGATGAGGTGAATAAGAAAAGAAGCTCCTATTGCAGGAGAAACAAGTGTAAACAACCACAGGCAACCCCTCATGTGGAGTCACCTGAAAGTGCACAGGGTAGCTCTGGGATGCAACACTAGCTCAGTGTTACTCTTACACGTGAGACCAGATGCCCACCTACACTTTCACAGCAGAAGACTCAACATCATCTTCTACACCCTCCATTACCATTGGAACAAGAAGGTATGCTTTCAGCGAAGCCTTGGACTGCTTAAAATACTGCTTTTTTGAGCAGTTGTATTTGCACAGTTTGCTAGTAGTCAAGGACAGGCTGCCTTTTTAGTCACTGCAGTGGAAATTTGGACATACAAAGGATGTGGAGACACCTGTGCCTCCCTGCCCTCTATTTTTATTGGGCCATACATATTGTAATGATCCCCAGATACACCTCCTGATTACAAGGCCAAACATGAACAAAGGTTTCATACTTACACTACTTTGGTATCCTTTTCTTATGCCAACTAATTTACATGAGTTAGAGGAATGGGATCTATATTATTGCTCCTTTATTAACTACAAATATGTAATTTTCCATTGCTTGCATAATGTTTGTCTATGATATTAGCACTGTCCATACACAGAGCCTATACTACAATGTAGTTCACACCCTTGTCATGTGTTATTTCTTTATAAAGTGTTAACTTTTCAGGATATTTATATTGTTAAATGTTGGTGCTTACACATTTGAAGTCATGACTGCACACTAGTTCATTAATCAGACCTTATGAAGTCACTGGATTCCTAAAAATTCTGAGCAATCAATTCTGTTGTTCAGTTACAGCTGTAAATTCTTAGCAGCCAAAAATATTGTTGTATTTTGCCTATTTCATCCTACAAATTAATATTTTTAGCTCATCACTTACATTATTCCAAGTCTGAAAAATAAAATGGAGTAATTACTATTGCTACTTCTCCTTTCTTACCTTCTCATATCCTCCTTTATGTGCAGATTGATCAGTTCTTTAGGAACATGGAAAGAGAGGGTGGTCTCAGCCATCTGTTCCCGGATTCGCATCCACTTGTTGTCAGAAGTAGGGAATCTATATAACTTGCAGATTGGGTTTTTTAACACTGCAGAGAGGAAAAATTATATCGCTTTAGTGTGGTTATATGACTCTCTGAAAATTTATGACAACAATTCCATCCAAAAATAATACGTTATTTCCTCACCCACCCACATCCCCCCCTGCTTCCAGAATTAATTTTAGAACCATTAAAATTCTATTAAAAACATTAAATTTTTATTTAATTTATTATAGCAGCATGTGGAGGACAAAAGTATTACTAGTACAGTAGATAAATCACATTCTACCCACACAGGAGGTATGCTGTGAATTTAGTATTTCAGTGTAACAAGAATGTAAATTATGTTCTCAGTTCTTGCATTTAAGATACAGTTAGGAAAAACAGAAAGCACAAATAAACAATGAACTCACATGCAGTCAATGCCATCGCTTACCATCTGCTAGAATCACTCACATTGCTAATAAATTGCATGGGACAAGCGAAGCATGCCTCAGAGTTTAGCTATATCTGATGCATCTTCTCCATGATATGCACACACAGAAGTCATGAATACAAACACCTGGTGTGCATCTACATTAAAGGAAACTTGAGATGGTCAGGAGACTGACACCACACAGAAAAAAATATAACAATCCTGTAAATGTGTTACAGACACTGTTCTCAGGTTACTATTGTAACTTGACATAGGAAAATCACGTTACTTGATGTCTTGGGAGATTATGCCTAAAACCCACCATCTTTATCTTAAAACTCTCAGATGTCAGCTACATTTTCATTCAGTTCTTACAATGATGCTTTATAATAAAGGTAGCAAACTTCTCTCTGCCTTCTTCCCCCCCGCCAATGTTTAATTTTCCAGAAAGAGCAAATGGGGGAAAAGCTGACAAAGAAAAGTTTTGTTTGATTACTTTGGTAAGGTTACTTGGAGAGAAATGATTGTCATTTAACACACATCCACTGCTTCCTAACTCAGAATGGCTTCGGACAGCCATCCAAATCCTCCAACAGCACTGTCCTATCAGCCTTTTGGAAAAAGCTGCCAGAGAAGGCTCCCATTGATCTGCCACTGAATGGTCTATAACTCAAAGGAATGCATTTCCCCATGTGCACTGTGAGGAAACTGCTGCTGTCAAAACAATATCTACTAATAGAAATTTCAGCTTCACAACTTGCTGCCACCATTACACTCTATGTAGGCTGATTTATAGAGAATGAAAAACACAGACCAAGTTAGTGAAGATACACAAACTGTCCTGTCTATCTAATCAAACTGGTTTTTAACAGAAGTCCTTTAGGAAAGGTCTAAAACATGACCATATATTCAAAGATAGCTGTAATAAAATGGTTGTTGGCATCTCATAAAGAAAGGAATGTTGTAAATAATCGCGTTTAAGTAATTGTAGATGTATTGTTTTCTATTTCTATCACTCTACTGAGATCTCTTAATCATTAGTCTTCGATGAGAAACTGGAAATCTTTTTAGAGTCGTTTTGCTTTTAGTGATTTTACTTACAAAAACTAAATTCTGACTTACTGTTTATCAATAAGCCTAATAGATGCTTGATAGCTATGGCATATGAATAACAGCTATTTTTCTTTACTACTAACCCAAAATACCTCGATGTTCAGCATCTTTATACACATTTTACAGCTTGAGAATCCTCACCAGACTTAATTATTTTCCACTATAAAAAAAAAAAAAAATCTCCAAGTCCTGTACCTATGATGAACTTATACCCAGCGTCTGCACTTTCTCATATTACCTGATTAAAATATCCTGTAATGCATTCCTATTTTCCTCCTCTTTTGGTGAGATTCTTTTAATCAACAAAATCAGTTTTGTCAATAATACTGACCACCTCTGTCAATCCATATAGATATATGGCACCAGTCATCATCCATTAACAAGACAGAGAATGACAATCTTCAGATGTCAGGGAGAACTCAAGAAACAAAGGGCTAGTTCAGGTCTGCCATTAAAGAGATGCTTGGCAAAACAGATGATAATTTTGGTTTGGTTTTTTTTTTCCATTTGGTTGGTTTTGGGTGTTAGGGCTTTTTTATTAGTGCCACCTGTTCACTAGGAAGCAGGCTGCTACTTTCAAATGATGATGCCCCAGAAACAAAAGACTCCTTTCTCTATTTTACCTTTTTATATCTACTTCTTAGGAAGTTATCAAAGGATGTTTTTCCAAGAACAGCCCTTAAATTTGCACTCAGAATCTACTGCATTCAAAAATACACATTTTTCTGTGAGGATCTAATGCAAATACATAGGTCCACAATCTCTTTCCTCCCATCTCCCCAGTATCACCACCACGATAACAGGAAAAAAAAAACAGAACTAAACAAAAACCCAATAGGACTGCAGCATGATAACAAGGGAGACAAAGAATCATTACTAAAATGTAGATCGAAATTATTAACTACTTTTCAGGTACTACCTCTGAGGCTGAATTTTCAGATGGGGATTATCTCAAGCGTGCTGCAAGTTTTAAAAAAAGAGCCAAAACATCTCTCCAATTTCATTATCAAATGAAAAAAAAAAAAAAAAAAAAAAAAAAAAAGCCTGGTAATTTTGTTTTCACAAAGAATCCAAATAATTCCCATTTGCAGTATTGCTAAAGCTTGAGGCTGTCAATAGGAGCCACACAGTATTTTATGTTTTTCTCATAAACATAACTACTGAAGTCATGTGATTCCATAAAAAGCTCAGATGTATTTTCCTTTCCAATTACAATTGTTTTTTAATTACAAGTTGTTTAGAAAAGAAAACTAGAAGGCATGCAAACCCACCCAAACAGTAATAATGGTAAGACTAGATTTGGCTTTTTTAAAAAGTAGTTATTAAAATGAATGAAAGTTTCATAAAGGTAATTCTTCATGTATTTAGACAGTGACCATGAAAGGCACTGAGGAAAAAGAAAAATAAAAAATCGAGATGAACTGCAGGGGTTAAAAAGAAAAAAAACCACCCTATTTTAAGACCCCTTCTCTATAGCATCAAGCGTAAAAGACAATGGCCATATATTTAACCATCCATATTTTTTGACATTCTCATTTTTAAAGTTAAAGATTTCTGTGCTTTTCATTCCAAGCAATACCCTTCACACTGCTTCCCCTGCAACTAAAATAAAAAATTAATAAAAGACTGAATACTCTGTTTTCATTTTTGTTCCCTACTGAACATAGATCAAAGCACACCGCTGCCATATACTAATTTACTAAGTGTTTCTATTTATATCTGTCTTTGTAGCATAGGTGTAGTATGCATATAATTTCAGGAAGAATAATTTCAACTTGCTTAATTTCTGCTTAATTTCAATTGCTTGTATTTGCTTTTTTATTGTAAAGTGCAATATGTTTACATGCAAACAATTGACAAACTCTTCAGTGTCATGAATAAATAACTGAAATTTGAGACATATAAATTCAATCTCTTGGGGTATAAATGGAATAGTGTTAAGCCTCTCTGAAATATGATACCCATTCCCACTCACTCAATAAGTGCTTCATAACTCACTTGAGGGCTGAGAGTTCCTTATATTAAGATTTAAATTTCAGAAGAATGGCAATGTGCACCTATGCCTACAGGCTTAAAGACTCACATAAGGGTATTTTTTTTTTTTTAGTTTCATAGTTTTGAAGGCCTGATAAACAACATGAGAGAGAAAGAACCTGAAATCCTTTAAGTACATGTGTACAGTGTTGTAATACATGTGTATATGGAATACATAATGTACTGTAGATAATTCTGTATGTGCACTACAGCAAAAGTAGTGCAGACAATGTTGATGTTATCATGTTGCCTCCAATATTCTTCTACCACATTACTGATATTGTTCCTTTCCCTTCAGTCCTTGTTTTGATTGCCTCTAATTTTGCCACATCAAAATGTGTCTGGGTTAAACTGGTTATTTTTTTGAAATTTTTAGTTTAGGTGGTCCAGCTGCATAGAATGAGGCCAGAAATCTGCAGTAAAAAGTTCTGTGCTTTATAAATTTGAATTCTAACAGTAAATCTTTTACAGAGATGTGCATTTTACCATATCCATGCAGACCTGACAATGACATAAGCCTTGGGAAAGAAATCTCAATATGTAAAAATGCAAAACTAGAATTTAATGTCTCACACATGCACTATGGGTCTACCTTTATTGAAAATTCTTGCATCCTTTCCAACTTCTAATATCAACAAAACCATGCACACATCATTCATACAGAGTGGATGAATATGTTTTGGGGCAGAGCTAGTGTGTGGTACAATACACTTAAGGGCAGCATATGAGAAAGCCAGTCTCCAGGCAATGCAGAGAGCTTTGATCCATATGAAGCCCAGTCATGGAGGCATCCTGGGGAAGAAGTCTGACTAGTTGGGCAAAGCTAAAATTTTCTAAGAAAATAAGTTGGGTATTTAATAAAAAAAGAGTGGGACTGACAAAACCTGAAACGAGTGCCAGGTGTCAGCAGGGAGGTGGAAGCAATGCTGGGATGAGAAGAGGAAGTCACAAGTACAGGAAACAGACCAAGAATAAGTATTTATTAGAACAAGCTTCCTGTGACTGAAAACTCTTTCCAATATCCTGCATGCTGTCATTTCTTGCATATGCATTTGCAGTTCTGCTCTTTCCTCTAAACTCTTTTCAAAAACAAAAAATTACAGAAAACTTCTATAAGTATGTTTGACTTTAAAAGTCCTAGCAATGTTGGGTGGGGTGGGGGGTTTTGGTTTTGTGTCATGTGTTTGCATATGAGAACAATAAATGTAGAACTTAAATTCTGTAATGTAGAACTGTCTAGATATACTGTAGAATCGTGTGCAAATACGCATGACAAAGTGTTCTAGGCTTCATTATTCATAAAACTGACCTTGGAAGTTCCACCAAAATACATTCCCTAAACTACAGCATTTCCTCATCCAAAAAATCTCAACAAAAAACCCCAATCAATCCCACCCAATGAAGGCAGCAAATTAAAAAAAAAAAAAAAAAAAAAAAAAAAAAGCTAACATTTTCTCTGAACAGAAATGTCATTTCTTTAATGACATTAAAGAAATGTTCACTTATCTGTATGACATACAGAATCAGAATTAAAGAATGGCTGCACTGAGTTAGATCAAATCATTCAACTGGCTCTGTATCTTATCTCCAAGAAGAGCCGTACGAAAGCTACCTAGTGATGCAAGATACTCCCCCTGCCTCCAGTTATTTTAGCTCAGGAATTTCCAGAGCCAGATGTAGTTCCTGTGCATTTAGTAATTTTCCATTAATATCTTTTCCACAAACACATCTAGTCTCATATTGAACTGATGAAAAGAAATGGCAGCTCTGAAGAAGAAATCTATCCCTGCTTCTGATTTAGTCTCAACAAACCACAGAAAAAAATTACAGCATTCATACATACATGGAAAAAACTATTTTTTGGAGGGTTCTAGTGCTTCCTTCAGGCTGCACAGCTAGTCTAATAAGTCTTCCCTATCAGTGAAGTTATATGAAAAAGTTTCAGTAAAGGTTTTAAAAGATTTTAAAACTTCAGTAACATTTCTCCTCAACTGTATGCAGCAAATACACCGAATTCTTGACAGCGCTGTGGTTTCAGATGACCCATATAACTTATTTGTGACATTGTTACTGCAGAGTAATGGAGATTCATAAACTTGGGCTAATAAAACTTTAACGGTGCAGCATATCAGCATGTAGTATTTCTTGGTATAGTGAAAGAGAAATAGATCTAGTTCAACACTGCACACGCAAGCCCAGAGTTGACCTAGAATTGAGAATGCCTTGCCAACAGCTTCATTCACTTTGGGACATATAGCTTCCAGATCAAGCTGAAATTGTCACTTCATCAGCTATTAGAGAGATTAATTCTCCAGGGCATTCAGTTACAAATAATGCACAATTGCTTTAACAGAATGTCATGCAATGACATGACAAAAACTTATAAGGTTAATTCCATGTCCACTGAAGTCACTGACAGTCTTGAAAAATCAATGAACGGTAAAAAGTGGGAGATTTTAGCAGTGTTTCAGGAAGCATAATTGACATACATTTCTGAAAGTTTTCCTCACGTTTCTCAGTAAAATGATAATGTCAAATATGTATAAAACATAAAAATATTAAACTTTAAAAAATATGCATCATTTGAAGAGCCTTCTAAGAGCTCTGTCCCAAATCTTTGTGATTTCTTCAGGATCTGACAGAGCATTGCATCTTTTATGGATGTTAGAATACTTACCTGCATTTAATGAAGGCAGGTTGTCTTTTCCACTTATGCCTTCAGTGACTGTACATTCACGAACCAATGCACACTACAAAAGAAATGCAACCACAAATGTAATACACTCAGGTGCTACAAGGAAATTCATAGCAGTTTATAAATTGCAAAAAGAAAACCCATCACTTATAATGTAACTTCCCAACGATTATCATTTACTTTATTCTTGTTATATTTTTCTTCCAATATAATGTAACACAATCAGAATTATAGCAGAGAAAATGGCAAAATGTGAACAGCTATTCTGTAATAAAACAGAAACGTTTCCTACCAATACAATGGCAGAGGTTAAAATAATTTTTGACAAGTTCTGTGCTTTCAGAGAGGTTTCTTTTGACAAGGCAGTTTTCACATGCACAGTGTCAGAAAGCACTCCATGAATTTTTAAACAAGTGAAAAGTAGGAAGTATAAAAAGTCTCTAAAATGCGCTTGTGGTTTGTGATTAAAGTAATTTGTTATACAAGTGAATTGGAAGACTACTTTGATAGGATTAGTGTATAAAAGTATAAAAAGTTTATGGAGAAATCAACCAGTGTAAAACTATGTTAAATGTACTAGGAAGTATACTTTTAATGTTCCTCCCCCGCCAGTAAAAAAAAAAAACAAACAAACCAAACAGAACAAACAGCCTCTAAAGGTGATAGGGAGTTCTGGCTTCCCCAGGTTCTAGATGTTCTACTGCAGAGCTTGAAGCAAAGAGCAAGATGTGACGTACTCTCGACCAGTTGATATGTCAGACTGAATTTAACTATCACCTTACTCTTCCATAAGGAATTCCCTACACATAGTTTATATAATGAGTTAGCAAGCCTAATTCAGAGTTTACTTCTTCGAACTCATTAACTCCACATTCTCGGAATTGCATCCTCACTATGAACATAGAAACCAAGACTCCATGATGAAACTAATCCATAAAAAGTAAGGACTCCTTTAAAGACCACAGAAAATACAGGTGTCACAAGGCTGGTCCTTCTTGACAAGTATTAGAAACCCCTAGAAAGATGCTGTTAAAGCCTTCTGGCTCCACCAGGCTAGACACAGGTCATTAACTACATCTCAAATAATTATAAGAAGTCTCATCTCTCATTTTGAAATGTAAGAAAAGCAGAATGAAGGGCTGAAAAAACAGTTCATGTCGCATATGTTGTGGAAGTTTTATAATACAAAACCAGAAAGATTTCACAGCATTTGTTGGCTTCTTTGGAACTGATCCCACTGGTCCATTGTTTTAAAAGGGCATTGAACTCCTTTGAGAAGAATGGTGAATAAAGAAGTGTAAAGTCTCTCCTCAGAGTGTGGCCCAAAAGCAGACCGGGTTGGCTGGGTAGAAAAGATATTCAGAACAATGCCCTTTTCTCCAAAAATATATTCTTGTTTACTTCTAAACAGAAAAAAATGTAGTCCTTAATTTTACATTCCCTGTAACATTATCTAATTTTTTTTTAAATTTTTTTCATGAAGAACAGAATACACCATGGTGTATAGCAATACACTGTAGTATCAGGGCTGTAAAAATTCTGCCACTGAGAATGGGGCTGCAGAGGCAGAGATACCAGGAGGAGGCAACTCTATTATACAGTTATGTCAGTTGTCATCAGTCAGGGAGCCAGTTAACAAGACCTTTTTTGTTAACTGCAAATCATTCAAACGCTGACTTCCTTGTTCTGAGCAGTCATTTCTGAATCTCTCCCAAGCCCAAACCTCTTGTCACTGTATGGAGATCCCATCCGTTCCACCCTCCCTCCCTCCTTTGGTCCTCCATTCTTCTCAAAACCACTCCTCCCATATCATTTCCAGCTCCAGTCTCCACCCCTTTTGCCTGCAACAACCTGTCTACTTAAGAGCATTTTTGCTCTTTCCAAACCCTTCTATCCTTCCTCTTATCCCACACCATGGTCACCCCAGCTTAGAATCCCTGCATACACCCTCTGGACAACGCTGTCCTGTGCTAGCACTCTGACGCACCATTGCTGAATCACCCCTCCCGCTGATTTTCCCCCACCATGTGCTCCCATGAAGTGCAGCTGAACCTGCCCCTTTACAAGAGGATTCACCTCTTCTTTCGCTTGCCTGTCTGCCATTCTTTCCAGGTTTTCAGTATTGTGGGCACAGGTTGCACATAAAAATCCACGTGAACAGGACTTCAAGGGCAGAAAACAGAGGAACTGTCCAAGGGAAAAAGAAGTCAGATTTATGGCAACTCTATGGACAGTTTTTTGATTGGAACTGATTAAATATGGTCAGTTGAGGTCAAAATCAGCTTTTTTTTTTTTTTTTTTTCCCTAAAGAAGGGGAGGGACTAGGAAACTGAGGATTGAGTATTACTCTATACATTTTAATGAAAAACTGCTTTTAGTTTAGGGAAATTAAGTGTACATGGTACTTTATTCCAGTATTTTTTTAGTAAATCCTTAACCCAATTTGGAATTAGTGATTTAGGCATTTGGTTCAGCTGACCATTCTTTCTACAATGAACTTAGTTTCTACCTTTTGATCCTGGGCGTCTGTTGTGATGTGCTCTGTTTCCCCATCCTCTAGCTCTCCCATCTTCACAAGACTGACTTCAATGGTACCAACCGTCTTTCCACCATCAGAAGTCCTGGAAAAAAAAAACATGACATCGGGTTATCTGCAGCCTCACATTTGTTCAGTAAAAATGCTGTCAGTATACGTTTAGTCCCTTCACCATTCTGTATAGCTGCAGTCACCTGTATTGAACTCATTATCTACAATCATAAAGCAAATGTTAAAAATAAGGCATATTGTATTTTCTCCAAATTCTTTCTAGCAATGAAAGTTTTCATCATGAAACTGAGGATGGGTAAGTGCTACAAATGGTGGAAGAATCAACGAACATTGCAAAGTTTTCATTCTAGATATTATTCTGTCTGTGGACTGTCAGAGAAAGGGCTGTAACGTATTGCACCAATATCCCACTTATGACCTGCAATCTCACTACACAGTACACTGCTTTGTCTCCTAACATAATCTGCGAAGAAAGGACATGCTCTGTATATTAATAAACCTCCTGCTAAACCAAAATAATGGAAATAATCTGAATGTAACTTTTCCCTTTGTAGTCCCTCTGCAGCGTAATTATTCACAATCAGTCCTATTTCTTTAACTGTACAGAAGAAAATAATACAGTTCCAGGTGAATTCCTTTATTATCATCCCTGCAAGTAGTTTACTTCCAACTAAGCAAAAATAAATAGCAATTCAGATTTACATTAAAAAAAAAAAAAAAAAAAAAAAAAAAAAAAAAAAAAAAGAAGAAAAGAAAAGAGTACCGCTCACTATTTTTTTGAAGAAACAAGGTTTTAAACTCCAAAAATATACTGACTGATCTTTCAGCCTTCACTGGTAGAAAAACACCAAGGTCAATGGCACAGGCTGTCTCCCCTGGCTTATTCTGAACAGCTAAATTTTTTGAAAGGAAGGAAAGGTGACAGATCTTTTAATAATAATGAGGAAAGTGTAACAGCTACCAAGCAAAAACTGGCAAAAGGAAATGCTGAGAATAAGTTCAGCAGAATTACAAAAGCACAGAAAGGATGAAGAATGAAAACAAATGGGTTTGGGGCATACTGTGTATGATCTCAAAATTGAATAGGATAAGTGATGAAGCAGGACAAAGGAATAGGGACCAGAGGGCTGGCAATAAAAAAAGAAAAAAAAAGACTGTCAGAAACAGCAACATTAGAAAAAAAGTGTTTCCATTACAAACTGCCACGTTCCTAGGGCAATCCTCGCTGCAGGAAAACACCAAAACCCCCCTCGGTACAGACGCTCTTCCAGAACTTCAAACAACAGTCCTCGTGTTACATTCATAAAGGAAGGAAAAATCCCCCAAACACCCTTCTCCTCACTCACCAACCAGGAGAAAGACAGGCTGGGGGCCGAGCGCAGCCCACCCTGCGCAGGGTGCCATTCCCCAGGGGTAGGGCCCCAGCGCCAGCTCTGCCAGGCAGCACTGCCCTGGTCCGACCCGTGATGCCTTCGGCTCTCCCATCACAGCCTTCCTGTGCTGCCCTTCTGCCCTGCCCAGGCTTCCCCAGAGCACTCGCTCATGCCTCAGGCGGGGGGACCCTGCCTCTGCGTTGAGCTCCCATGGTTTTACATCAGTTGTGTTTCTGCATGCAGCATAAGGCCTTAATGAAGTCAGAGTATGCCAGCTCTTTACACTGACTAAAGTTAAGCATATGCATTAGTCTTTTCAGGCACAGGGACTTATTTATCATGCTAAATCAAAACTTTCATTTTTTATAGTGAAGTCTAAAAACGTAGCTAACCCCAAGTTTCAAATTGAAATAATTATTTTGGTTTCAAACCATTATGCTTTAATATGTGACTCGGTTGAATGCACTCATCTTGCAACTATACAAATTAAATATGTTGCTATATAAAATCTTGTAAACTACACATAATTCTTCATATTGCACTACTTCATTTGCTCTACGCCAAATTCACTACTGACTATAAAGAACAATTAAAAATGAACCAATTCCGGATAGCCTCGCAACCAAAAGTGTACGTTAATCAACAAAGTATGCAAACTAACAGTAATGAGGAAGAAGAGTTCAATGTCCAAGGGGTGTTTATGAGCAAAAACACATAACAGTTTTCAAATGTATGAGAACAACGTAAGCATCTTGGATGAAAGACATCCTGCTGAGTTGCTACTGCTTAGTGGTCTGACTGCATTTGTTTTCTCCTTCCTGTGTCAAACCAGCACGCAAACTAGGTGACCTAACAAATGCACTACAGCATTTCCAAGAAGGGGAATACAACATACGTTAGCAAATCATATACTTTTAAAAATCAGACTAAACGTGAGGCTGTAAGACCGCAAATTTTTCAACAGCTTAACATGTCCTGATCAAAGTGTCAAGTGGATAATCTCATTACCAGGCTGACCTAAATATGCAACAGCACTTTGCTATTATCCTGGTCTGAAAGGAAAATGTTTCATTCATTTGACTTCCAGAAGTAAAATCCTACCCATCCTTTCTTTAGGGAACACGTGTTTCTAAGGCCAAAGAAACCTGCAAGTCTCAGACTGATCTACATAGACCAGGTATGATTTAAAATTACATCAGGGTAAACTAAGAGTATAAACAAATCTTGAGCAAAACGGAGATCAATTTGCAAATGAACTGATACAAGCCAACAAGACATGTTGCTAAATTAAAACAAAATAAAAATGGAAATGCCAGTTACACTTTCTCAGTCCTCATCTCCCTTTCTTTAGAACACTAAGTATTCCCCCTTGTTGCTGTTACTAGAGGCTTGGCCTCAGTAGGGCAGGGAGCACTGCACTGCTTGCCTCCATGAGTAGCAATACATATTTCGAAGCTTTCTGCATAAACATTTTAAAAATATGATTGATCTAATTTCACTTTATATCAATTTTTTTTTAGTGATTTTCTTCTCAAAATCACTCCTGGTCTAATACTATGTAATATTACAATCTGAAACATGCAGTATCTGCAAGAGAAGGTAATGCAAGAGAATAAAACTAAACAGTGGGACTGTTGCATTGTAGTTGTACTCCTTCCTCCATTTCTCTTATCTTTCCAGATGGAAATATGAAAACACAATTTAAAAAAAAATAAAAATCCAAAGTTTCTTTTTGAGTGCTACAGGCACAGAAATCAACAAAGAGCTCTATGAACATCCAGGGATAAGCTGTATCAGACACTGTGAATTTAATATACCACTGGTGCATGAGTCTTCAAATGACATGTCACACATTTAAAACTTTCAAGCAACTTCACGAGATTAAAATTTTGCTTGAAAGGAAATAAAGTTGAGAAACAGAAGTGATGCAGTGGGGAAAAAAAAAAAGCGTAGTGACCACACTTAAGATAAAAAATCGATATTATTTTACCTTTCAGAAACAGTATTTGCACGCATACACATATATAGGTGTACACTTCATGTCATTTGCTTGGACAGACAGGAAGAGACCATCCCACATAGACACACTGTTCCACAGAGCACCAGGAGAATAATTAATTGGGTTTAGGATACTTCATAATGCATTAGGATAGGATCAGCTTATTTGCTGTAGTTTAATAAAGATGAAAAGCGCACTCTGCACTCACATGGTGCAATGAAGACTCTCCCTGCATCAAACTGCTTAGGTCATGAGACAAGAGATACTATAGACCCACAGAACAAAGGATTACACACCTTGACAAACCTGCATAGGGACAGTAGGGATGGGGAACAAAGTGATAAGAATAAAAAAATGTCCATGTGAAGTAACCATATAAGTATGGCCTAAACTCTAGCTGGCTCATGGAGTCAGAAAATTCCCGGTTTTTTTTGTTTGTTTTTTTTTTTAACAGTCTGGGATAAGGAGCACTAATAGCCTGATATCTGTTCATGGGAAACAAAGTGTTAGAAGAGTGATTTTTAAACCAGATTTAGAATCTAGTGTCATAGGATGCAGGCTTCAGCAGCAAAGCTGGCAATATTTCAGTCTATCCCTAACCATCCAGTCCAACATGACTATGTGTTTCTGTGCTCGCTCCACCTACCACAGCCATAATCCTGTGACAGCCCGCACTCACCTAAACTGGAATCACCAAGGACACCCCCTTCTGACCAGGCTTGCGGTAGTTATTCTGAGTGAAACAATGTGTTGTGAACTTTAAAAACCCCCTACTTTATCAGCGTTAAAGGCAATATTGTTCTACTCACTGAGCCAAACCCAGAGACCTTTGAAGCCATCATGAGATCTGCTCAGGTTTAAAACAACAATTACTTACTAATGCTTTTAATATTAATTTCTAATTTATTATACACATGGATTTCCTTACCATCCCAAATCCTTAAGGATCACCAGGTCAGTATCAGTTCCCTCAAATGTGAGAGAAGGAGCTAGCCAGCACCATCATGAGCAGCAGCAATATGTGCCCACCTGAATATTTCTGGCGATAAAAGGGTGACCTGGGCACCCAAAGGAAAAAGAGGGTAATAGGCTGGCGTTGGAAAAGCAAGTGAACTAGATGGACTAAGTATAGCAGCCGTTTGCTTCCAAAGCTGTTTTCATCAAGTCTCACTGCTGTGCATTGAATATGCAAATTTAGGCCTGCTAATTGTTTCCCATGGCCATACCTTTCTTTCAAAAAAAAAAAAAAAAAAGGCTCAAGATCGCAAAGAAAAAGAGAAACAGACTGTGTATTTGCATAGCTGTGTTAATTATAGATGACTAAATGGGTGACTGCCTGAAAAGCAAGGTAGATTGTAGCTACCATTCTCCAATGCATAATACACAATAAACGTGATTAGTACAGATTAACATACAGATGATCATAGAATTATTTTCTCCACTGATGCAATATATTTTGAAATATGCAAGCACAAAACTATGGTATGAAATGTTTATTGCGTTAATTCACAGCGGAACCTATTACAATCAATACCATTTTTAAACAAGTCCACTGGTAAATAACGTTCTCTTACATTCTAAGGTAAATAAACAGAGTTTTGCAGTGTTCAATTCCTTCTCAGTTTTCACCATTTTAATGTACTAAGCTTCACGTACTTTAAGCGTCATGTCAAAACAAGTCTCACCTCAACTGAAGGGGAGATTTGCCCGGCTTATAAAGTCAAGCTGTTGTTCACCTGCTTCCTGGGGTGGATGACATGACATGAAGCAGCCAAGAAAATTTCCGGATGGAGACCAAGTAAATCTAGTTGTAGGCAGACTTGTACTGAATTTTAATAGGGAAAAGCAGCAAAATATATAGTATTTTATAGTCATCATTTGCTACCAAAGTTATATGTACATAAATGTCTGCAAAAATTAATGTGCTGCTTTGAAATTCTCTCTAGTTAGTTAAACATTGTGAATGTAACTGCTACTGAAGTGCAGTTACGTGTCTTCTGGACCACTTAATTACAAGGTGCTTGGAGTACAGTGTTAGGAGGTGGGGGAAGTGGGGGTGGG